TCTGGTCCAAGATAGTATTTTTAATCAGAAGTTATTACAAGTGCTTCTCAGCAGGAAGTTCTAAAATCATGTAATTTACAGCAACATGGATGGAGCTAGAGGACATCATGCTGAGTGAAGTCAGTCAGAAGGAAAGGGACAGGTAAAAAATGATCTCTCAGGACTGGAGGGATAGTACAGCGGGTAGGGCACCTGCCTTGCATGTGACAGACCCGGGTTTGATCCTCAGCATGCCTGATGCTCCTTTGAGCACTGCTAGGAGCAATTCCCAAGTGCAAAGCCAGGACTAACCCCTGAGCACTGCCTGGTGTGGTCCGAAAACAAACAAAAGAATGATGTCTCATTAATATTTAACATAAGTGGGATTTAAATCTACATGGCAAGGCAGCAACAAAAGGCTAAAGGCAACAAAATGGGAAAACTGATCCACACAACTGAGTTGGAAAGGTGGGTGCGGTTGAGAGAAAGGGGTGCTGAAGTCCTTGAGAGGGGAAGGTGGGTGATCTGGTAAAGGGTGTGATGCTGGAATTATGTGCCTGAGAAACCAAAATTGATAGTATTGTCAACCACAAAATATCAATGAATTGAATTTTTGCAGATTAACCAAACCCTCCAACACACACACACACACACACATACACACACACACACACATATACACACCCACCAGAAGTTCTGCTCCTTGAGAGACCCTAAAATGTACTATTTTCCATCTGTTTCTTTTTGACTTGCAGCAGCTTATGGCTTTCCTGTCTTGGCCACATCTGTTGCTTCTCTTTGTTTCTAGATCCTCTTCCTGTTCTGTGACCATCATCAATGCAGTCCTATTGTTTCATTATTTGGGGGGAGTCTCCCAATCAGCGCCATTTGGGATAGTGGTTCAATCAAGGGACCAAGGATGTCATGTGCTTGGGTCCTGTTGATGCTGAGGATGATCCAGGCCACCCAGCAGTGCTGGGAGATTCCAGGGCTGCACCCAGGGGTGCTTGGGGAACCCTGAGATGCCAAGGGATCAACCCCTGGTTTGTGACATGCAAAGTAAGTGCCCTAACCCTTATAGTCTCCATGACCATTTATTGATACACTATTCCATACTTTTTTTGAGGGGCAAGGGTCCCTGGGGTCACTCACAAGGATGCTTGGTCTGTCGGAGTGTTTGATACTGCTCAGCCCCTGTGGTGCTGGGGTCCCCAGGGCCACTTTCACAGTGTGGGTGATTGAGTCAGATTCCTTTACTTATGTTCCTGACCCACTCTGTGCTCTCTCCTGGATACAGGAGTTATTTTTTTTTTAAATTTTTATTAGTGAAACACCATGAGGTACAGTTGTAGATTTACAAATTTTTGTGCTTGGGTTTTGATTATACAATGATCAAATACCCATCCCTCCACCAGTGCCCATTTTCCACCACCATGGATGATATCCCTCCCACCCCCATCCCCCCATCCCACCCTGCCTCTGTGGCAGGGCATTCCCTTTTGTTCTCTCTCTCCTTTATGGTGTTGTGGTCTGCAAAAGAGGCATTGAGTGGCAAACATGTTCAGTCCATAGTCTACTTTCAACATGCATCTCCCCTCCTGGGAGGATCCTCCAAACATCCTTTATTTGGTGCTCCCTTCTCTATCTGAGCTGCCCTTTCCCCTAGAATGCCCGGCTGGCCTCTAAGCTATGGAGTAATTCTCCTGGTGCTGATCTCAGCTATTCTTGGGTATTAATCTCCTATTTTGTTACTTTATATCCCCCAGATGAATGCAATCTTTCTATGTCTATCCCTCTCTTTCTGACTCATTTCGCTTAGCATGATACTTTCCTGTTGTACCACTTGTATGTAAATTTCATGACTTCATCTTTTCTTTTTTTTTTCCCCTTTATTTTATTTTATTTTTTTTTTAAAGTTGTAGATTTACAATTTTTTGTGCTTTGGTTTCAATTATGCAATGATCAGATACCCATCCCTCCACCAGTGCCCATTTGCCCATTTTCCACCACCATGGATAATATCCCTCCCATCCCCATCCCCCCATCCCCCCGTCTCTGTGGCAGGGCAATCCCCTGTGTTCTCTCTCTCCTTTTGGGTGTTGTGGTCTGCAAAAGAGGCATCGAGTGGCAAACATGTTCAGTCCATAGTCTACTTTCGACATGCATCTCCCCTCCTGGGAGGATCCTCCAAACATCCTTTATTTGGTGCTCCCTTCTCTATCTGAACTGCCCTTTCCTCTAGGATACCCGGCTGGCCTCTAAGTTATGGAGTAATCGTCCTGGTGCTGATCTCAGCTATTCTTGGGTATTAATCTCATACTTTGTTACTTTATATCCCCCAGATGAATGCAATCTTTCTATGTCTATCCCTCTCTTTCTGACTCATTTCGCTTAGCATGATACTTTCCATATTGTACCACTTGTATGTAAATTTCATGATTTCATCTTTTCTAACAGCTACATAGTACTCCATTGTGTAGATGTACCAAAGTTTCTTTAACCAGTCCTCTGTTCTTGGGCACTCAGGTTTCTTCCAGTTTCTGGCTATTGTAAAGAGTGCTGCAATGAACAAACAAGTGCAGATATCACTTCGACTATACATTTTTGCCTCTCTGGGATATATTCCCAGGAGTGGTATTGCTGGGTCAAATGGGAGCTCAATTTCTAATTTTTTGAGAATCGTTCATACTGTTTTCCAAAAGGGTTGAACCAGTCGGCATTCCCACCAACAGTGAAGGAGTGTCCCTTTCTCGCCACATCTGTGCCATTAACGGTTGCTTTTATTCTTTTGAATGTGGGCCAGTCACAGGAGTTATTTTTTATTAACTAATTCCACATATTCCCCTTCTTCTCTCCCATACAGGGTAAGCCACTCAGTCATATTTATTTTTCTGTATACACTGACACTAAAGGTAAAGGCCCTCCCGTTGATCGTCGATTTGCTCGAGCGGGCCCAGTAACATCTCCATTGGAGACTTTGTTGTTACTGTGTTTGGCATATCAAATACTCTCGGTAGCTTGCTGGGCTCTCCGAGAGGGGCGGAGGAATCGAACTCAGGTCGGCCATGTTGGCCGCTTGTAAGGCGAACGCCCTACCGCTGTGCTATTGCTCCAGCCCCACTGACACTAAAAATATTATAAATTTAAATCACTTAAAAATTTAAATTAAAAATTTAAACATTTAAAATATAACTTGTCTCTAGCACTGTAGCGATAGGTAGGGCGTTTGCCTTGTACGTGGCTGACCTGGCCGAACCAGGTTCGATTCCTCTGCCCCTGTCAGAGAGCCTGGCAAGCTACCAGAGTATCTCGCCCACAAGGCAAAGCCTGGTGAGTTACCTGTGACGTATTTGATATGCCAAAACACAGTAACAAGTATCACAATGGAGACATTACTGGGACCGCTTGAGCAAATCTATGAACAACAGGAGGACAGTGACAGTGTCTCTATAGACTGAAGAGACAGTACAGTGGGTAGGGTGCTTGCCTTGCATGTGGCTGACCCAGGTTCAATCCTGGACACCCCATATGGTCTCCTGAACCCACCAGGGGTGATCCCCAAGCACAGAGCCAGGAGTAAGCCATGAACGCCATTGGGTATGACCTGCAGACAAACAAAAAATCACTTGAGGGTGCTGGGGCAAAAGTACAATGGGTAGGCCCTTTGCCTTGCTTGGGCTGACTCTAGTTCAATTCCCAGCATCCCATATGGTCCAAGCCGCCAGAAGTAATCTCTGAGTGCAGAGCCAAGAGTAAATTCCTAAGCACCATCAGGTGAGCCCCCAAACCTGCCCACCCCGCAAATAACACTCAACCCTATTATAAATCACTGTGACTCTGTATAGATCTATGTATCTGTGTATTTTTAGATACTAATCTAATACACTTTTCAAAACCTGCCTTAGATGGTGTTAGTCGGTAAATGATTTCTATAAACTGAATTGGTTTCAGAGTACATTTGCTTAAAGACTTTAAAACATATCTTCCTTTTAATCTTATTTTGGGCAAGTAATTAGCATAATGAGGCTGAGTCAGGATTCACTTTTTCAAATACTAATTCTGCCAAGAATCTAATAGCTGCAGGAGACTCAGGAATCATTCTCCTTTCTCCCTTCTCCATTATTTCACAGATAAAGGAAAAACTGACTTAGCCCAAAGTCACACAACAGTTATCTGAGGTTTCAGGGATAAAGCTCAGTTCTTTGGTATTCTATCAGACAGTCCTTGTCTCAAATAAGTGATTGAAACTACAAAATGTTCAGAGGCCTGTGCACACTCAAAATTTAAAACTTTCACAAGACACATCAAAAACCATTAGTTGGTTTTATAGTTGAGATCCAAGCAGAAACACTTGACTGTTGTCTGCATTAGTTTAGCACACACGCAAAGTTCCTAAGTAACCAAATCACTCTTTACAAGGGATGCTTTTTATTTTTCCTAACAAAATCAGGGGAACAACAGGACGCATCACAATGAGAACATTTCCTCTTCTTCATTGGACCATTTTATTCATAGTCTGCAATCTGGTTTCTAAAGATCAGATCACTGCACCACCTGGGAGAAGCAACTGACCATAAATAGTCCTTCATTCTATTGACAGACAATAGACTTTATGACGGAGCTAAAATAGAATTAAGCTCACAAACAAGACCAGCATTCTGCATTCTGCTGCCCCTGAGCTGTCTTCTTGCTTAACCCTGGAACCTTCCCTAGGTGCTGCCCAGCCCCACGTGCTAACGGCTCTGCACGCAGAGTGCCAGAACCGCGAGGTCGGGGAAAGGAAGGTTTGAACAACTGCAGACTTGCAAGGTACAGAAAAGCAGCAGGCCCGAAAAATACGAGCTTTGGCTGATGCTAATACGCCTGGAGGAAAAGGTCGATTCCATCCCTCTACTGATTATTTTCCCTTTTCCACGGCCACCAAAGAAACCTTCCAAACAAGACGCATTAGGAAATAGTGTGACTGCTGGGCGGCCGGGATGCCGATCATTTGCAGCACTCTGCCCCGCCCCCTGTGGACTCCTCTCTGTCCTCTAGGCCAGGTTTGTTCCCCCCAGCAGACGTGGGTCAGCACCCCTAACCTCCAGGAAGTCTGGCAGGAGTGGGGGAACCAAAGAGCCCCGGAACCCGATGCGAGGGAGAACGCCGGAAGGAGAAGGCGGACGGACCGGCAGGCCTAGCTCGGCAGCGGCGGCGGTGGCGCGGGGATGGAGGCCCTGCGGGTCCTGGAGCTGTACAGCGGCATTGGGGGCATGCACCAGGCGCTAAGAGGTGCGGGATGGGCAGGGCGGGACACCGCGGAGGGGCAGGACCCGAGAGGCGCGGCGTTCGGGGCGGAGACTGAGCTGCTGGGCGCCTGGTGGAGCGGGAGGCCCGGAGAGAGGAAGCGTAAGAGCTCTCGGTTGTCTTGGAAACCGCCATGAGGCGGGGCTAAACCGCGCTGATAGGCGGAGCCCCCAGGTGGGAGAGGCCTCCTGTTGTCTTGGAAACCGGCGTGGGACAATGCTAAGCCGGGCTGATAGGCGGAGCCCAGTAGGCGGGGACTCCTGTTGTCGTGGAAACCTCTGTGGGCGGGGCTAAGTTGGGCTGCTAGGCGGAGCCCCGGGTGGGCGGGACCCCTGTTGTCTGGGGAACCTCCCCGCGCTTTGTCGAGGTCCTCCCAGGCTGGTCTCCGCCCACGCGCCTGGGCTGGGCCGAGTGGGTATGGGGCAGGGCTCTAGGGTTTCTTGGAGATCGCCTTTGCTTGGAGGTTCCCCCTCCTTGCCTAGGAGAGACCGAGATTTGGAGGGGGGAGGCGGTTGTTATGGAAACTGCCTCTACTCCACCCCGCCCAGGGAGGGCTCTTGGGGGTCGGATCCTAGCTCAGACTCGCGACTCAGTTGGTGCCCCCCAACCCACCTGGTGAGGTTCTGGAGTCAGACTAAGCAGAGGTCGACAAAAGGCGGTCGGGAGAACCCCACTGGAGAACTCTGCTCCCTTTCTATGACCTTGGTGGGAGTCACAGGGCCTGGGGGTGCGGGAGGGGAGGCTCCTGGGCAGGGCCCCCTGGGCAGGGCCCCTGGGCAGGGCTGCGGCTTCCCAAGGAAAAATGCAACCCAAGTGCTAGTTTGTCCAACGCAAGTGAGTACTGAGTACCAGTACTGGAGTACTCATACTCCGGTGGCAGAGAGGGGAAAGCCATGCAGATCCCTTTAGATCCGGGACCCGAGAATTGATGCCTCTTCTCCCGTTGTGACTTTGGAAATTGGTTTCTAGCTTGGGCAAAATATTCTTAAGAGAAGGATCTTTCTGAGCACTTCTGAAGATAAGGCTTGGAAAATGCGTGATTTGGTGCCTGGCCCAGTGTCGCCCCTTAAATATTATTATCACGATTTATTTGTGTGTTCCTCTGCCAGCCAAGAGGTTTTGTGTTTTCTTTGGGGCTAAATCGGACCCGAAAGGTTTATTTTTGGTGATCTTCAATCAAAAATGTTTATTGAATTCTAATTCTGTGCCAGTAATGGTGCCAGACCCTGGAGATTTGAAAGTCCATGTTTACTCTTGAAATCACTGTGGCAACCAAAACATTGAAAGTTTGCACCTTCCTTTTTTTAGTACCAAGGAAGCAAGAAATTAGTAGCATATGAGACAGATGCTTCCTACCGATTTGAGCAAGTAAATATTGAGTTTTCAGTCTAGACTAGTGACGATTGTTGGGACTTTTTTCTTACTTTCCTTTCTTCCTCACTGCTGCTGGTGTGATGGTCCTCTTCCATTTAAACTGTGCTCATAGGAGGTGATGCATCAGGTCACACTTGACCATGTGCTAATGGAGAGGTTCAGTTGTGGTACTCACACACCTCTGGCTCCGTGCAGCTGGGAAGAGTGGGAGATACCAAGGATCACAGTAGAATCTCCATGCCCTAAATGCAGCAGAGGGTCCAGAGAGTTGGATTACAGCAAGTGATTTGCATGCAAGATCCTGGCACTTCATGATCCTCCAAACTTCCTAGAGTGTGGGTATCACCAGCAGCCCCTCACAGTTCCCCCAAAAAGGAGCTACCAGGATTGTGATTATCACACGTGACATCACTGAGGATTGAACTCATGGCCTATGCTTGCAAGGAGGCATTCTAAGTCACTGAGCTATTCCCCCAGGCCCCTAAATCATTGTCCTCAATTATTTGCTGGCTCTCTATGTTCAGTTCTCCTCTCAGAGGTTCACGATCACGATCACGACCATCCTGTTATTCGTTGATTGCCTCGAGCAGGCCCCAGTAACGTCTCCTTCCTCCTAGCCCTGAGATTTTTAAAAAAGTGCCATATTCAAGGCTCTTTCAGAGTTAGGAGAATGAGACCCATCATTGTTACTGGTATTTGGCATATTGGGTACGCCACGGGGAGTTTGCCAGACTCTGCCGTGTGGGCAGGTTACATTCGGTAGCCTGCCAGTTTGTCCAAAGTAGGAATGAGATAATACCGCGTCCGCGCGCTTCCGGGAGCTGGGTTTTATAGTCTCTGAGTCTTGGCCATTGATGGAATTACACGGCGCCAGGGGGCCAGTTGGTGGGTGTGACCCCCGCCTACTGGAATTTGGAGGATCTGGGTGGAGGATGCTCAGCCCTGATCCGAGTAGGCTTGGAGATCTCAGTCCTGGGACCTGCATCATGTGTGCGGAGAGTGGTCTCAGCCTGGTGGTGGCTGGTTCTGGAGGTCTTCAGCTGCCGAAGAGTCTCTCAGAGGTTAGCAGCTTCAAAAATAAAACTCAAGTATTATTTGCACTTAAGTCATTTCTAGGTTGTTGGATGTTAGCATCTCTCTGTTTCATGTTCCCCAGTGTACCAGATTTTTAAAAGTTGCTTAATTTTATAAGCTATTTTTCAGCCATTTAAGTAGGGAACATTAGGTTAGTTGGTCTTTTTTTAAAGACTAGTTACATCCTTGAAACATAATTTACTGTTATAGTGTGTTTCTAAAACTAGAATTAATTCATGAATGAAAGACTTCATATGTGCTACTTATTGAGTTAACATTTTAAGAATTTGTTTAGACTTTTCACAGAGAATACCGTTAATTGCTCTTTGGATCCAAATCACCCTTCTGCTACAGTCATTGGGGGTCCACACTTTGCTTCCTCTTTCTGCCTCCTCTTAGTAACCCCAGTCCAGCAGTCATTATTTAAACGCTTATTTGGGTTTGGTTTTGTCTGTCCTTATACTTCGTGGTATTTGTCTTTCTCTTGATTCATTTCATTTCATATAATCTCCAGTTCTATTCTAATTGTCACATGGCAAGTTTTCATTCTTTTTTAAAATATATATATATATATACATATATATAGCTGAATACATCTGTCATTGGACATGTAGATTTTCCCCATACTTTGGCTGTTTTAAACATCTCTGCAGTGGACATAGAAGGGCCTAAACCTTTTCATGTTAGTGTTTTTATTTTCACTGGAGGGATATCTATTAGTGAAATTATTGGCTTAAATGGTAGATCCATTTTAATATTTTGAGGAACCATAGGTGATGAACCCTGTTCTCCACGTTTTCCATTGCTGCTGTACCGGTTTATGTGACTACCAGGTGTGAGGGTCCCTTTTTCTCTGTGCCCTTGCCAGGACCTGTTAGTTCTGAAATTGTGTGTGGCAGGACATGGGGTACAGGGACGAGCAGTGCTGCTGGATCAAATTCAGAGTCTTGCTAATATGAGGCACGTAACCAACCACTTGAGTCACATACCCCACCCTGATGCTGGCCCTTTTGAGTATAAGCCACACTCACAGGAGGTAGAAGGTGAGATCTCACTGTGGTTTTGAATTTCAATTTCCTGATTTAGTAATGTTGAGCATTTTTTTTTCATTTTCCTGTTTACTATCTATCTATATGTCTCCTTAGGAGAAGTATATTCAGTTCTTCTGCCTTTTTTTTTTTTTGTGGGAGATGGGGATATATCCTTTTACACTGAGTTGTAAAAGCTCTTTGTGTGTGTGTGTATGTGTGTGTGTGTGTGTGTGTGTGAGAGAGAGAGTATGTGGGTAATATCAGTATCTTCCCAGACTTATGCTGAGCATATATTTTCTGCCATTCAGGAGGATGTCGTCAGTGACTTTCTTTCGTTCTCTAGAAGCTTTGTCGTCTGTCATTATTATATTATTTTTTAATTCATTTTACATTTTTTTCTGGGCTGGAGCGATAGCATAGCGGTAGGGCGTTTGCCTTGCACACAGCTAACATGGCTGACCCGAGTTTGATTCCTCCGCCCCTCTGGGAGAGCCTGGCAAGCTACCGAGAGTATCTCGCCTGCACGGCAGAGCCTGGCAAGCTACCTGTGATGTATTCGATATGCCAAACACAGTAACAACAAAGTCTCCAATGGAGACGTTACTGGGCCCGCTCGAGCAAATCGATGAACAACGGGAGGACAGTGACAGTGACAGTGACATTTTTTCTGATCCTTAGATTTGATTCCTTCAAAGACCTCACTGAAGCCAGTGTCTTCCATGGCTTCAGGTCTTACATACAAGTCTTTTTTTGAAGTCATTTTTTATGCATATGTGAGATAATGGTTTAGTTTTATTCTTTTGCATGTGGTTATCAAGTTTTCCCAGCAACAGTTTAAGAGAATTTCTTTCTCCATCGTTTGCTTTTACTCCTTTGTCATGAATTAACTGACCCTGTATGTGGGGGGTTATTTTTGGATTCTTAATTCTATTCCATTTGTTGATGTGTATTGATTTATTTATTCCATTTATTATTCTTTGTATTATTCATTTTTCACCGTTGTTAATCTCTTGGGAATGATATATTTTGTATGTATATTTAATTTGCAGGGTTTTTTGTTGTTGCTGTTGCTCGTGACAGTTTTTTTTTCTTCTGTTACCCAGGGTAATCAGAATTTGTATAAATATTTGTATTGCTGTTACTATTTGTATTGCTGTTACTATTTGTATTGCTGTTACTATCGCTGGAGCGATAGCACAGCGGGTAGGGCGTTCGCCTTACAAGCGGCCAACATGGCCGACCCGAGTTCGATTCCTCCGCCCCTCTCGGAGAGCCCGGCAAGCTACCGAGAGTATTCGATATGCCAGACACAGTAACAACAAAGTCTCCAATGGAGACGTTACTGGGCCCGCTCGAGCAAATCGACGATCAACGGGAGGGCCCTTTTTAGGGCTGTTACTACCATGCTAAATCTGTTGTACTAACTGTTAAATGCTAAATGTGCTGTACTACCTGTTAAATTACTATTTTAGGAGGAGACCTTCTAACAGCAATGGAGGCCCAGGG